AAATCTGTAAGTACTTAAATAACAAAATAATGACAATTAAAGCAAACTTTAATACTTTGACATTAACAGTCAATGTCAATTAAATGTCAAGGACATAATTGAATTATTTAACATACGGTGTCCTAAGGGTTCTTTTGTCCAAAAATAAAACAATTCCAAAAATAGACAACAAAAGGTTCATGTGTCTAAGTATGAAGACAATCGATTAAGAAATACAAAAAAAATAATGGCTAACGTTTAAACTTCTTGACGGCAACGGGAACGTCAACCCGGCTGTTGAAAAAGCTTTTCTTCGAAAAAGTCGAGCTAAAAACGAATCTTACACTCGTTGTCATTTCTTAAACATGTATTAACCCTTCTCACAATATTATAATTTATAGAAGCTTCATTGCAGTCAAACAGCTTAAAAATGCTAAAATATTTGAAGTTTTTTTTATTCTTTCAAAGGTAATCCCGAGCAATTAAAACGAAAAGAGATGCAAAAGGCAATAAACGTGTTTCATTTTTTTTTTTTGGTAATATGTTTTAAATAGTTAAAAATGATTATTCTGAAAGAAAAGAGAGTTAATTTAAGTTAAAGATATAATATGCTTAAATTTGATATTCGAAAGTATTTGCTACCCAGCCTAATAGTAAATATGAAATAAACATGTTTTGACTTCATACAAATTACATATACATATTTATATATATATCATTTTTAAAATTCTACAAACTATCTATAGGTGGCCACAATATGAATATATAGTGTCATTAAAAAACTGGAAGTTTTTTTTATTTTAAAAGAGAAGACCAACTTTATTCACCTGTAATAGAGAACGCAGCTTCTCCACATGGTACATGGTTTATTCATTCTTTTATTCAAATTAGACATATTACATATTCAGTAAGAATTTTATAGATTTTTACAAATTTCTGTGATTAAATCATTCTACTTTAAAATGAGCATGGTGTATCTGTAAGGACAAAAAAAAAAGGAAAAAAAGGTGATCATCTGAAATTTTACACATCGTTTTTGGACCAGACCCAATGGTAATACTTAAAGTATTAAGTGGAAGAACATACCCCTATTTCAAATACCTGTATGATATCATTTTGTAACAAATCATAACATTTTCACTTAAAATAGTATGTCAATACGCTCAGCAATATTGGAAAAAAAACTATTTAAGTGATCTCATCAATTGAACCATTTTTTGTCAATTACAGTGTTTTGAGTACTTGTATTTTTTAGGTTTCATTTTTAAGGGAAGGGACGTTGATTATTCTGAGCGGATAAAAGACGTACCACAGTACGAGATTTATTCAGTGGTTAATGTGTCGTCATCTCTATAAACATTTTTACAATAACAAAATAAACTGTTTCCTTATTTATAGTGACTTTTTTCAATGATGTCCGCAAATGAATATTTATGATGATAAATTAATAAGCTTGGTTGATTTAAATACGTATTTTTTCATACCACACAATAGGTAAAGTATCAAATTACTGGAAAGTATTATCATTGAAATCGAACACGCTAATTGCCGTAATGTACTAACCATCCGGGCTTGAATGTACCTATTGCGCATGAGCGGAGTTTTGATTGGACGACATTTTGTGGGAGTATTCCGGTGACTGTTATTTTAACAATTTGTGTAAATAGACATGAATAATAGGGGAAAGTCAATTGACGAAGTGTATTTATACTTTTCGTATTTATTCATGTCATGTAAGTCAGTGTCGTGTTAAATACTGATTAGAATCTGAAAACGAACTTATAATGGTTACAAATGGTTAAATGATTGCCTGGATGAGTTTTAACTTTCCAACTTAACTCTTCAAAAGTGTCACTGTCATTTTGGTAATTAAAATCCACTAACACAAGGCAATATTCGATGGGCTTTGGGACAGTTAATGAAAACAAAACTCAATTCATTTAAAAATCAAACAAATGTCTTTTAAAAAAAGAAGATACATTTTAAAAATTATTCCATTTTAGGTGTAGTAAGTTCTGCAATATGAACATTCCTTGTACCAGGCAAACAAATCTTGTACTGAGAAGAGTCAACTAGCACGTGCAATAGGCAGTGACCTTTTTTCGAAGCTATCTATGCTTAAAGCGGTATGTCTCCAGATCCATGCTAATATTCATGAAAAATTTGAAAAATATATACACAGGTATAATATTGTTAAGTGAGCAAAGAAGTTAATAAACACATTACAAATGGCATTTAAAATGAAGGTTAATTACCAAAAAGAAGAATGTATATGCCACCCCCCCCCCCAAATAAAAAAAGAAAAAAAAAAAAAAAAAAAAAAGACATTACTGCGTAAGTCAAGCAGTGGGAAAATGGTGATAAGTTGATAAATACTGCACAATCAGTCATTTATCACGCATAACATGTAAACCGTTACTTGAATCTCGAATCTATTACTTTGCCTAAACTCTGAGCATATGCTTGAAACAGTTTGGCTCATCTGGAAGCACGCTACTTTGAAAGCCGTCATTTAGTATTTCGAAACTTTATTTCGCCACTTTAACGCCACTTTAAGCGCACATATATAATGAGATAATAAAAAATATTTGTTTTGTTGTTGAATTCCTTATGTATCTTTTCAACACAGAATTTATTTTCATATTCAAACTATAAATTACCAAATATTCTGTAGTAAGCATGCTTTTATTAAATTGAACTGTTCGAATGTTTTAGTGTTGGGAAATGTAGGCGTTCGGTATATTTCTGTGAACGCCAAGTTGTATGTAGTGATCAGGCTATTCTATTGGTTCCCCTATAACCATACACAATGAGAAATTGCCTCAAAATATACCTTGATTAAAATTGGGCATTTATCCTTAAGATGTATTGCATTCTATGAGAATGTCTATGAAATGCCTGACAAATAAAGATTGTCTAGTCGTGAAAGCGGATTACCATCTTTTTATAAAAAATCATTGCTAATAGGCGCGCGTTGTGTTTATCCAGATAAATACGGCGCTTTAATGAATGGTAAAAATACTGTAAACTTTTTAGCAGCCACATACGCACACTGATAAATACCACCCGTTCTTATAGCCGTTTAAATATTATATATATAAGTATTATTGAAATCCTAACTTTGATAGAATTTAAGCATTAATTTTAACTCTGTGAAATAAACATTAAACTAAACACCGCACGAACGCACACACTCAAAAGAGGACAATGATACAAAGCTTATATACCTTCATTAAAATTGAATATAAATATCAAATTCATTACTTTTAAGACAGTTCCCTAAAGGATTATCAGGCGCCCAGTCAGGTACACTATTTCGGTTGTCCCAGCTAGGTACTCTTTCGGGTGTCCCAGCCAGTTACTCTTTTTAGAGTGTCCCAGCCAGTTAATCTTTTTGGATGTCCCAGCCAGGTACTCTTTTTCGGGTGTCCCAGCCAGGTACTCTTTTTCGGGTGTCCCAGCCAGATACTCTTTTTCGGGTGTCCCAGTCAGGTACTCACTCGAGTCAGAAAACTAAACATGTGAGGTCTTCCCCAAACAGTTAACTAATGAATATAACGGTCGATTGCGATTTGACATGAAATAAAATTATCTACTTGGGATAAAGAATTATCGGGAAGCTTCAAATATACAAAGCAGATTTGTTCTTAAATACCAATATTTATTTTGTTTAATATGGCGGCCATTTCTCTTGGAGCGGTGGTGGTGGTGGGTGAAAAGAAATATTGCACTTACATTTTAAAACTGTAACAAAAACGAACAAGTTTTAGGAGTTTTTCATTTGCAATATGTTTGCTTAATAAAACCTGTCATTTTCGGACTACAGAAAGAGTAAATAAAAAGAAAAGATCTCTATCTTCACATACTTAAAAGCCCTCCGTTTTGACAGAATAAACAGTGATACAATTTCCTATCATATATATAACTTTTAACCTACACGAATTATGGAATGGGTTTGGTCAACTTTGACTTTGGAACAATTCATGATATCAAACTATGTCAAAAATTGACCTGCCACTTGTATAAAGCTTGCCTTGTTTGGCCCTAAAATGATTGCTAAGGGTAATCACTTTCAGCATTTTAAGGGATAATTTTGTCGTTGGTTATCAAAGCACTCTTTGACATGGTAGCTTATAAATTGCAGATTTGTGGCCCTTTGGCAGACAGGCGCAAAGTGTATCTTTGAAGGAAACATCTGTATACGAGAATTTTACCTTAAGCAATTATGTCAATACATAAATATTAAAGTTATGTCAATACATTATTCCACTAGTTTTTGTATGGTATTATTATTACAGTACTCAACACTGATTCTGGACCGCCGCTAAGCGTATCGAAGTCATTCATTTATTATAAATTGAGATATATTACATATCACGTACATCATGTATCATATTTTATTGCTTTCTTTCACCAAATGTATAAAATTTGTTTTTTTACATCAAAAATATAAAAAATGTACATAGAAGATAAATTCAATACTTCTTCTATCATAATCGATGGTTTTTCTTTAAAAATAAAACATTTAAACCATTTAAATACGAGTATTTCTATCATGAAGGGGTCACACGGTTCCATAGTAGCAAAGATCAAACGGTCGTACGCAATTTTGTTCGGATACGTTATCAAGTTCATTTTATTGATACAGAATAAAAATAAATTATTCTTTTCACCCAACAAATATTGCAGATGATGAATGAATCATTAAGTTGTTCACCAATAATTAACACTTCAGCCCATCCACATTATTGTTATGTTTATTTGACTCCCCTCGTCACAATTTTCGACTAACAAAGAAGCAGCCGACACATCCTATTGTCCCTGTAACACGACGCCTCACTCACGACCAAGCGTATAAATCAACTATTAACAACAATTGTATTATTGTCAATGCGTGTATATACCGCAGATATTTGTTAAAATGAAAAAAAGGACGAGGCAGGCTAATCCGCTAGTTTCCTGACGCTTGTACAAAACTGACAGGCTATGTCCGGGAGATTCCAAATGAATTCATGACGTCACGTTTCGCGCGCACATATCAATTGGCTAAAAAGCGACGCAGGTACGACATTGCTATATAAGTTGGGAATTTTGTTAGTTTAAATTCAGAATTTAATGAAGACACAGCTAAGAAGGAACATCTTGAAGGTAGGTGGTCTTTTAAATGTTTTTTATATTAATTATTGTGTTCTAGTCTTTTCAAATTATGTTATTGTAGTTTCTATTCCAGTCTTGTGTTTATAAATGAGATAAAGTAACGAAGTTTTTAGTTGCAATATTCTATCTTTTTCATTGGAATTTGCTTTATTGCAATTTGATAGTATTAATAGAAAACATAAATGTAAGAAAAGAACAACATAACGTACATATTTGGTTTCTTTATCATACATTGCTATTTTCTTCAGTAAATTTCATACTAGACTATTTTTTTTAAATATTGTGTTTCAAATTCTAACACAAACCCTTTGATCTTAAACCTGATAGCCGTCGACAAAAGGTTTCTTAGGAATTAAAAATTTACAGTTTCTATTTTTGCGTCGTTCTCAAATTTCACACTAACGATAGGAATTAATTATTTACAGAAAGTCTTTTTATTCCAAATTTCTTTTTAGCATTAAATTATCTTTAGTCATTCACTAAATAAAATTCTCAAAAATACGTTGAATATATAAGTTAAGTCTAAACAATACTTTATTGCAATCAAACCTGTATACGCAATAAAAATACAATGAAATACAAATACATGTATTCAAATTTATTATGGATCAAAATACATGCTTACATGATTTAAAGTGTTGAAACATCACAAATATTGTATTATATTGTCATATTATTAATAATACATGTACTATCCTATTCAGAGACAAAATAACAACAAAGAAATTAAAACTTTTCGTATTTAAATATTGCACAAGATTTTTGTATTGTTTATCAGTCAACAAGTTGTTCACATAGATTGGACTTTTCAGAAACTTTCCACTTTATGTTACTTTAAATTTGCTTTTAGGATTTGAATGGTCAAAAAACACAACACGTAAGGAACTGAACGCTAATAATCAAAAATAATAAATTAACCATTCATATTCATATGTTAAAGGGACTCCGCTGAGGTTTTTTGACATGATGGGACTGAAAATATATTTTCCAGATAAATGTACCATTTGATGTAGGTTTAGACCACTAATCTTTGTGCAAAATTTCAGAACATTCGCGCACTTCGTTTTTTTTTCAGAATAATTATTCAAATTGTAAAAATATGACCCAAAATGAAAAGCGGGTTAAGAAAAGCATAAAAATTACGATTTTCAATTTATTTCAAAGTATATTTCTTAACTATTTTTACTCATTTATGTAAGAAATTCAAATGTTATGTTTTTTTGGTCCCTTTGCGACCAGCATGGATCCAACCCAGCCTACGCATCCGCGCAGTCTGATCAGGATCCATGCTGTTCGCTTACCAACCCTATTACAAGTAGAGAAACACATAGCGAACAGCTTGGATCCTGATCAGACTGCGCGGATGCGCATGCTGGTCTGGATCCATGCTGGTCGCAAACGCACTATGCTGGTTTTGTCGTGACGCGGCTAAAATAACCTCACACTTTGCAATTATCAATTAAAAAACGTCAGCGTTGCATAACCTATTATATTTTGTGATATAAATTCAACAACATTATATCACTTTAAAGTGTACATTAAAAATTCATACTTTTTAAAATTCATTTTACACTGTATTATTTTATTGCATCTGTTAATAAAAGTGTTAATAAAAGTGATTTTTCACGGATACAATTATCCATGATTTTTAGGGCGGCCAACATGCGTCATTGCCAGTCCTTGAAACATATGTGCTGAACAGAAGACAATAACAATTATAATTATAATAGTTCACCCTGATGCATACACTGTCTGTTACAAGATTGATTTACATTGCTTCATTGAAATAAACTTAATAGATAAATAATTAATGTTTTTCATCATCGCCGGCGAATCATCGGATGGTACTGTTTTGAAGATATTTATAAAAGCAATATATATGCATAATTGGACCTAAAGTTGTACCATAAATTGTTTATTTGAAATGATATATTTTCGTACCATGTATTTTACGACAATGCTTTGTTCATGAAATGTTTATAAAATTTATCAATGCTTTTTTTGAATAGCAGGGTAATTTGTCACACTGAATAATCGTTATATATACATTTTGTATATATACATCATTGTATTTCATAGAACTATACTTGCGGCTTCATTTTTACAATATCAATTCTATAGTCAATGCCGACACATTATAACAGGCTTTTAGGCAACCAATAATTGTAACTATGAGAACAATCGATCTGTTCATATTTTGAAGCAAAAGTATATGTAAAAAGTGGTAGTTTAGCAGCATATATTCATATCATTACATTTAAGCATTATACTTCCAGATTCTTGCTAATTTCAATGAAAATGTTTAAAATGCACAGAAAAGTAAAATATTGTGAATTGAACTAAGAAAGTTATTTAAATGTTTCAAATGGAACTTACAATCCACGTAAATTTAACAGAAAGAGGGCAAAATATGCAAACATGGACTTAACTGCGTTAGTAACACAGTAGAAATATGTTAAAATTACTGCAAAAATATGTCATTAACCAAATAGTACATGTAAATTATAACTTTGATCTTGAATTTTGTTTACTTTTCTGAATATCTTATTACATCTTTTTCTTAATTTTTCTTTAAATAGTTTGGCTCATGGAGGCATGCAGCTTTAATAATATTAATACTTTAACCCACAACTTACTGAAACTTTTATCTAGACTTATTAAAATCTGGAAACAAAGTGATCGCTCGGAAGCATTAATCACAACAAAATTACAAGAGAATTGCACACTCGGTTTGATTGAGTCTGTACATGAGGGATAATGAATACGTGCACCTTCCCTCACGCCTCCTAGCACCGGCTTAAGCGGTACTCAATTCTCAATACGCAATAGAGCTGGCATCAATGATCTTAAGGGACCAGAAAAATATAACATCACTTATAAGACTTATAAACAAATTCAATGTTTTGAACGGCCCGTTATCATTATTTTGAATAAGATGATCGAACCTTAAAGTAAGGGCATCACCAGTGTAAACTAAGACCATACTGCAAGGACCTTCAGGCTGGACTGACTCTATACTGGTGACAAAGGCTAATCAATGTCCGTCTGTCCGTTTTAGGACGGTTCACGATAATGATGAACTGTATTAGTCAATGTCGGTTTAAAGCAACACGCCTCCAGATTCATGCTAACTTTCATGAAAATTTTGAAAATGTGTTTAAAAGTAGTATTTAGTGAAATAACCAAAAGGAAGCAATTTGCAAATTATCAATGGCACTTACAGCCCACGTAAATTATGAAAAAGAGGACAAAATATGCAAAAATTGCCCTTACTGCGTTAGTAACGCAGTAGAAATATAATTATAAATACTGAAAAATCAGTCATTAATCGCACATAACATGTAAATTATTACTTGAATCTTGAATAATTTTACTTTTCTTAGAATCTTAGTACATTTTTCTCAAATTTGTTTTTATTGAAATATTTTCGCTCATCTGGAGGCATGCAGCTTTAAGGACGGTTCACGATAATGATGAACTGTGTTGTAAAAATAGCCGTATACCGGTCAGTTTGGTCTTTAAAACATGCATCCAGATTCATGCTAATTTTCATGAAACTTTAAAAAAACGTATTTAAACATAGAATATTGCGAATCGAACAAGACAAGTAAAATAATTAACAAATTGCAAACAGCACTTGTAGTCCGCATCAATTACCCAAACAGAGGCCAAAATAAGCAAAAAAAAAAAACACTATTGCGTTAGTAGCGCAGCATAAATATAGTGAAACATACTCAATCGCACATAATTTGTAAATTATAACTTGACTCTTAAAATGTTTTGATGTTTTTAATCTTAGTTGATTTTTCTCAGGTTTTATTTTCTTTATAATATTATACTTTTGGCTCATCTGGAGGCGTGTCGCTTTAAAACACTATATCATTCGGATAAATGTATGAATGACGTCACAAATATTAACGGTAAAAATTCATATCAATATAAATTTTGTACGTATCATTCTGAAGAAAAAAGACTATAGAATAATACCATACAATAATAAATCACATAAGCAAGTATATTATATGTGATATATTATAAGTAATTATATATTCTGTATTGTATCGATATGCTTTATGGACTAATTATTTATTTCGATATTAATTAATGAATGACATGGTGACATTAAATATTTAACATAATGCTTAGTAATAATATCAAAATTGTTGACTGTCTCCTCAGAATGCTTACATTTACGCTATAAAATAAAATATAAAATAGTGTTTGCATTGTCTTTGCCCAGTGGCCATGATCAACTAAAATTAACGTAGCTTTGTAAAAAAATAAGACGCTTTGTAAAATAAAAAGTGAATTTTCACTACACAGTATAATATTTAATTTGAAATGAGAATGTATATGTGTTTCTTTATAATCAGTTAAATAATCTGTAAATTGCCTTTTTTGTCTATACTATACTAGCATGAGTAGTTTAAGAGAAACGAAATTTTATCAGTTTTTGCAAAGCTAAAAAATAAAAAAATAAACAAACCAAAAACAACATCCATCCAATAATTTTAAGTATATCTGTTATCCAGTAAGTGACATTGACATTTTGAGTATATTAAAGAAATAACATCGGCCTGAGAGGTGTATATCGGCTATTTAACACCAGTTTGGAGTTTTGATGCGTAGGAATTGACCACGAAGACCGTAGACCTGAGTGGTTTATTTTTTCGCACCAAAACGACAAAACCGGTGTTAAATAGCCGATATAAACCTCTCAGGCCGATGTTATTTCGATTCTATCACGATGAAATAAGGAAGATCACTAATGTTATATTTTCAAGCGGAAATAACTTCTGGTGCAAAAACTTTCTAGCTTAAGTTGACTTAATACATTTCTTCAAGTTAAACTCAGACTCAATCAAACCGAGCCTGCAACATTTTCAATTTTGTCGTGCTGGACTTTCTTTAGGGATACTGTTTTTCTCTATCTTTAATCAGTATAGCCTTGCCATCTAATTTCTTTGTTTGTGTATATATGCATACTTGAA